GTAAGTTTTAATTTTTCAGGAAAACCCCTGACTCTAGTGAGAGATTAATCAGGAATGCTAATATTTCACTTATTTCATTCTTACAATATTTAATTATTTTAGTGCATATGGAATCATAACCCTCAGATTTTGTGTTATTTAAAGACATTATTATCTTTTTGATAATATTTTCATTTATAGGAGTTAGAAAAATAGATTGAGGTACTTTCATGTCAGTTGTATTTTCTATTTTATAATTTATCTGTTTTGTTGCGTTATTGAAATAGTTATTTATAATAGATACTATTTCAGCAGGATCCGTTACCGTCTTTCCATTATATATAATATTATTTATATAGTTTTTAGTATGTACACAATTTGTCTCATTTTTAATAATTTCCCAAGTGGCTTATATATTTTTACTATTTACTACAAATTTATTGTTTGTTGTTCTTTTTGCAATGTTTATACATTTTTTTTTAACAGTTTATCGTATTTTATATATTTAGTTCGATCAACATTTTTTCTCGTCATATAGAACTTGTACCGAAGTTTACGTTTAGTTCTACAACTTTTTTTTAAGCCTTTGGATATCCATGTTAGTTTGGTAAATGTTTTAGTTTTTACTCTTATTTTAGGAAAACATAGTTTATAGAGTAATGTGAAAAAGGCTAAAGAATTCGTCAAACGCTTTATTTAAATCAGACTGAGCATAAACTTCACAAAATGAAACGCATTTTAAATATTTTTTAAATCTGTCCATATTTTCTACGGAATAATGTCGAACGAAGGAATATATTAATTTTGGTGTGATGTTCTTGTTATTTTTTTCAGTAAACTTTAGTACGTGTGCAGTATCATGATCTGACAACCATAGTGAACGCACAGATCCAATTGCGTCGTCAATGTTACTAATAATAAGATCAAGACACGATTTGCCTCTAGTTGGTTGTTTTATATCAAAATGAAGGTTATATTTTTTCACAATGTCCTTAAGACATATGGCGTAATGACTGGATTCAAGTATATTAATATTCATGTCCCCATTAATAATTATCTTCTTTTTTGAATGTTTTATTATATATTTATTAATAAGTGAGTCAAATTTTTCAAAAAAAATATTCTAAATGACTTTTTTGCTTTTGAAGGAATTCTATAAATGCAAACAATAATTAAATTATTATTAATAAGATTTATTGCACAACACTCAAAGTGGTAAGTCATAGCAAGAGCATCGAAGTACTCTATTTTCTTATAATCAAGACCTTTTTTTACTAATATACAACTACCCCCTCTTTTAGATGATCTTGAAAATGATGTGGCTTATTCATAATTATTTATGAGTATGTTTTTTTCTTCACCTGTTTTCACAAATGTTTCGGTGAAACATAGTACGTCGGGACTAATATGGTTTTTTATCTCCAAAAGGGTCATTTCTATTAGTTCTCTTTTGGAGAGCAATCCATGTATATTCTGGTGAAAAAGTGTAAAGCACTTGCTATTTGCTTTGAAAAAACATGTCCTTGTTACTTTGAAAAGAATTTAGCGTATTTTGAATGTCTACGTTACTTTCTCGACTTAGAGTATTTATTTTTTGTTTTTTGGTAAAATTACGAAAATAAAAAGGTATTGTGCCTTTTTTTGGGTATATGGTTAGGACTTAGGATATTATTACATTGAATCGGAATGTTCTCTGTTTGTTTTTGGGACATAATATGAAAATAATAGGGTATAGTGCCTTTTCTAAATAATTTGTTGCATTTATTTTCCTTCGTTTCTGTTTCATTAATTATAATAGGTGACCTTTTTAAAAATTTCTTAATATTTTCGACCGTTAAAAATTGTTTTTTATATTCTATATAATCGATGCATAAATTAATTTTATTACAAATGTTTTTTAAGAAATTAAAAGCATTAAAATATTTAACATTCATATTTATCAGTATACAATTCTCAAAATGTTTAGTCCATGATTTTATATTTAAATTTAATGTATTTTTGTCAAAATAAGGATTATAGCATACAGGCGTTAGAAAGACAGAGACTTTACTTAACTTGCTTAAAGCTATACAAATATTGGAGTGTAATTTATATATATTTTTATCATTATTACCTATACTTAAAATCACAATGTCATTTACTGTCAATTTTTCATTAATAATGTCACAGTATTTTAATATTTCAGTACTAGTTGCTCCGGACAGGATTGATGCCGAGGGAATATAGATATCATTCCACTTGCTCTGCCTGATATTTATAAGTGAAGCTGACAATCCCTTTAGTTGTTCATCCCCAATAATGTAAATAAATCTTTTTTCATTTTGCTTTTGTGTATTACTGCCATCTATCGGTGTTTCGCGAATACTGTTAGAGTGAGAGTTTTTATCGATTTGTTGTTCTGTTTGATTAATATTATTTGTTTCTGAGGTAGATGGCACTGATGTACTAATATGTTTAGTTGATTCTCTTTCATTGTGATTAATATTTTCTCAATTTGAGAAAAATCTAACTTCATTTTTGTCAAACTTTTTTCCCTCTTTTTTAGCACTTTTTTTCGTCGTAGATTTGCATATATAAGTTAACTGTTTAATTTTTAATTCGTATTCGGAAATTCGTTTAGTTAGCATCTGATTTTCCGATAACAAATTTTCGATTTCATTTTCTGCTATTTCCAGTTTTTGTTCTAATTTGTGAGTTTGCTCTTTTAATTCTTCAATTTTATAATTTGGATTTCTTTTTATTTCTGCGTAGCTTCTATTTAAGGTATTAATTGGGGTTGAAGTAAGGGACGAGTAATCACCTTCTGTTTCTTCATCTGATAGTTCTTTAAAGGAGTTAACCGTATTAACGTTAAATTTATATTTATTGCGTTGGGTAACGTAATCCTGATGCTCTTGCAATATGGTCGTGGATCTTGGGGATGTTTGTTTATTACATAAAGGTGAAAGGCATGCGTGACATTTATAATTTTTCTTTCTGTCATGCGTCATTAAAACAAAACGTTGATACGAGACACTAGTGCAATCTAAATGGTAATATTTTTCACAAAGAACACAAATTAGAAAATCCTTTTTTAGTTATTATTTCCTTGCCGCATTTTTTACAGTTTAGTGTCATCTTGTGGAGGATATTAGAAACTGTGTTACGGTCGTGCGTTAGATAAGATATACAACTTCCAAAGGATCAAAGTTCAATGTGCATTTGAATATAAACGAACGTTTGTTTTGATTTATTAAATTGAAATTTGCATAAATATCTTTTACTGCTCGCTTTATATGTTTGTAATACGATAAGATTATAACAATATTGTCCAAGTAATAAAAGTATTATACTTTTATTAAGATATACTTAGTAAAGTTTTAAACTTACGTAACGTTATATCTTATTCCTTTTAAAATTATCTTGTTCTTTATCACAAAACACTTGAATAACACTGTCACAATAAAACCGCACTTTTTTATCGATATAAATAAACTTTTTGGATATTTCGCTAAATAAACATTTTATTTTGATTTTTATATAGAGAGCTGTGTTTACATGTCAAAAAGGTCCTGTATCTATCGAATTTTATTAAGGTTTATGCATAAAATATAACCTCTCTTTACATACACAATTACACAATGTCCTTAAAACGGAGAGAATCGAAAATAATTACGACTGTACGACCTGTCCAGTCCCGCCGGTTACAACCTCACCGCTCCCGCGCCCGCGCCCTCACCCCAATCGCTCTTTCTTCGTTCAGTCTTCAGTCTGTCTGTTCAGTCAGTTCTATCCGCACGTGCGTACTCATCGCCGCTTTGTCAATTGCAAATACATATTAAATTGATTTCAAAACACGGAATATTACTTCTGTAGAAAGTTTTTTTAGAAGATTAGTGTTCTCGTGGATAACCACGCACACGGTAAGTAACTGTGCACTCATACTTAGAAAATAAAGTGAGGCGTCATCGCAGCGCGGCCATGTTGGACGCGTGGGTTCAATAACAAAACCAGCGCGAAATATTTTTTACGCTTCACTTATGTATTTTTAGGGTTCCGTTTGAGAAACAAGGAACCCTTATAGTTTCGTCAAGTCATGTTTGTCATTCATACAAACACTATAAAAAACAAAGTTACAACTAACATCCAGTCATATCATTACTTGCTACCACGGAACCCTTCATGGGCGAGTACGACTCACACTTGGCCACTCTTTTTTGCTTGTCTATTTGTGCTTCGTTGAAAATAAATTTGAAGTAAATCCTGTTACCACGCGAGCATATGTCGAAAAATCTAATATTAATCGTTTGGAATACATTTTTTATTTATTAATACGTATTTATTATTGCAGTTAACAATGGATAAGTGGCTAATAAAACGCACATCTACAGATGCAGGTGGCGGAAGTCCTAATAACGCATCACAAATCAAAAGAATTAAACATGTAGTTCTTGACAGCAGTGTCGTCTCAGATTCTATAATGACAACTACTGTTACGAGTAATATAAGTCGTGAGACCAATGCCACCACTTCAAGTACTAGTAGTGTTATTACTATCGATGAAAGCAGAGAAACATCTAGTTCCACCACTATAACTATTAGTCATAACAGCGATGGTTGTAGTTCAACATCCACATCTACCTTACACATCGATACAGAGAGTGACGCTTCAACTTCAACTAAACAAGCAACAGCTACATCGGAGACAACTGGGAAGCGTCAACGCATCTTTAAAGAATCGTACATCCAGTTTGGTTTTAAATGTACAGTGTTGAATTTTGAACAACGTCCACAGTGCGTTGTTTGTTCGGAGGTTTAGGCAAATGAGAGCATGATAAGCATCCACAGTTAAAAAATAAAGATGAATCTTATTTTAAACGACTTTCCACCAAACTAAAGTCACAGCAGGTTGATTTCCAAAAATACACAACAGTTAACCAAAAAGCCTTACAAGCATCTTTCGAGGTTTCCTTTTTGATTGCCAAAACTAAAAAAAACCTCACAACATTGGCGAGACGCTCATTTTGCCAGCTGCAATGAAAATGGTTTCGATCATGCAAGGAGAAAAGTATGCCAATTTACTGAAAACAATTCCACTATCAAGTGACACTGTTCATCGTCGTATCAATCTACTTGCTGATGATATCAAAATACAACTTATAGATCGCGTGAAAGGGAGTCCCTATTATGCTATTCAGCTGGATGAAAGCACTGATGTAGCTAATGTAGCTCAACTTTTGATATTTATCCGATACCGATATGAAAACGACATATGCGAAGATTTGTTATTTTGTCAGGGATTAGAAGGAAGAACAACCGGTGAAGCAATTTTTAATGCAGTTAATACCTTTTTTGAACTCCATGACATAAAGTGGGAATATTGTGTATCTGTGTGTACAGATGGCGCAGCTGCATTGACCGGCTCCAAAACAGGATTCAAAGAAAAGTAACTGAGATTGCACCTCACGTAGGCTTTGTTCACTGTGTGATTCACCGTGAAGCCCCTGCAGCAAAACATTTGCAACCAGATGTAAATAAAGTGTTGGAACAAGTCGTAACAATAATAAATTTTATTAAAGCTCGCGCATAAAACAGTCGCCTTTTCAAAATAATGTGATCAGAATACGAAAATCTACTGTTACATATACGGAGGTCATGTGGTTATCGCGAGGAAAAACACTCCGACGTGTATTTGATCTCAAAGATGAAATCAGAATATTTCTACTTGAACGGGAACCAAAGCTAGCGGAATATTTTTTGAATGAAAATTGGTTGGCAACAGTTGGCTATCTTTCGGATATTTTTTGAAAAACTTAACGATTTAAATCAATCGTTGCAAGGGAAGAGTACAAATGTATTGATTTTAGCTAACAAAATAAAAGCTTTTTTGTAGGAAAATAAGTTTGTGGATAGACGAAATCAGTGCTGAAAACTACGAGATGTTTGCATGTTTGGAAAAAATTTCTGAAAAAAACAATATAAAGCTCGAAGAAGAAATTAAAACCAAAATCATGATGCATCTTACAAACCTTAAGCAAGACTTGGAAATAAGATTCCCAGATACGTCACACGGTGACCAATGGATAATTAATCCATTCACTTGTGATCCTAACACTGTGAAGATGAACTTAAAAGAAAAGGAGCAGCTGATCGATTTAATGTCCGATGAAAACCTTCGATCTATTTTCAAAACCACGGATCTATCCAAGTTCTGGATAATGACGGAAAAGGAATATCCACTGTCATTCAAAACATCTCTGCTGAAATTGCTGCCATTCGCATCTACATACCTTTGCGAGACAGCTTTCTCCACATTAACTGCTATAAAAACAAAATATCGCTCCAGACTTAACGTAGAACCTGATTTGAGGGTGTCTGTTTCTGATAATATATCACCAAGAATTAATATACTGACTGCAAATGTGCAAGCACAAGGTTCACATTAGATTGTAAGGTTACGTATATGTACCTTCTTTTTTAAATAAAATATTATAATAATTGCTTGTCTCATTTAATGCCATCATAAATATTACTCGTATGTTAAATACATATTTTCTAGTTTGCTCTAATATTACTTTCCAAAATAAATAAACTCTTCAATATAAATAATTTACGAAATAAAAACAGCTAACTTCGTAACCTGAACCAACCTTTGCACTTGTTAACTTAGTGATTTTTCTGGGGTCAAAAAAGTTGCGCAATATCAAAAAAGTTGTGGACCGCTGCTCTACACTCAACATACGTAACATTACAGTATTAAGCTGGTATTGTGTGAGAGCGTGGTCCTTCCCCGGTCGAGCCGACTCATTGACGCTACAACCATAATATAGCTGCAACGTGGCTCTACCATGTACAAATGTATGATATAGCTGCATGTCTGAGAAAGAAAAATTGAGTACATGTGAAGTCCGCTAACACGTATTGGCGGTAAATATTTCCTTGCCCTAAAATCCTCTCAGAAATTATAGGTCTTTCTCCAGGACGTATATAGACTATAACGTACTAACAAACTGGGATGACATCGAAAAGCAGGACATTCGGAGATTCTATGCTTACCCCTTGAAGGTGAAGGTCCGCTTGTTCCTGTTGAGTGCGTTCAGTGCGATGATGTGGGTGGTGTCGAGCTGCACGCGCTGCGCGGCCAGGCTCTCATGCAGGTGCGCCGCGCTGGAGCACTTCACCACCACGCTACGTCCCTGGTGCAGCTGGTACCTGTTACCCAAAGGTCTAGTCAATTTTTATATAGAATAAGAGCCACAAGCAGCAGTCCACTTGATGGTAAGTGGATGTTGTGGCCCAAACACATCTACATCCATCCTCGATTAAGAATCAAAATGCAGATGCGTTGGCACCCATGAGGACTAAGATGAAATGCCTCGTTTCCAGAAAAAAGGGTCTCCGGTTCTCTACACTCACCATACGATACACAGCAGCAATTTTAATGATCACGCTATACTTAAAATGAAGTCGAGACAGAATTTGTATCTGGCGTGCTTGCTTTTTGGCGTCATAAAACATCAAGAACCATCTTACTTGTACAATAAACTTGGCTGGGTTGCTACAAGGAGGCAATGTGATAGAAGACAGTGCTCGCAGCAACTTTCGGTACAAATGCACAAATCGGCATCTTTCAAGGGAGCATTTCGCTACGCAGCCTCGAAAATATGGGGTATGTTCCAAAATAGAACCCAATGTACTGTCCAATGCAAATGACGTCATGAACGACGCTTATGGTGATTCGTTCCGAAACAGGACAGTAATGACATCATACATTTACGTCATATTGGAAAAGTGTTGGCGATTATTTTGTCATTTTGTGCTCCAAAAATCATTATATCTTAATATAATTTTTTGTATTTGAATAAATAAAAACAAATTCTGGCATGCTTCATTCAGCGCATACACAATTAAAAATTGTTTTATTGTGGCCGGATATCCGACGCAACACGCCAGTACAATATAGTATCAATTGATGACGTCATTTGCATTTGCCAGTGTACTAAGTTGTATTTCGGAACATACCCATGGAATAACATACCACCACCTCTAAGGCAGCTAAGCTCTATAACTACCTTTAAAAGTCACCTAAAACAGTACTTGTTAAATGCACAAAAAGATCTAGGCATGGTTAACACTCTACGAGCACTTAACCCTATAGAGAAGTAATACATGCGAATTTAAAAGAAAACAATTTTTTCAACTAGTTGCGGTGCGGGGGGAGTTGTGATCGCTGCGAAGTACTCCGAACTATTCCGAAGTGATTCCGGACACGATCGCTAGGGCGTGCATTGTAATGACTTTATTCTTTCTATCGATAATGATAAATTTTTCCGCTTTTTTAATACATGCTTTTGGTATCAGTAACTAGCTTTTGACTGTGACTTCAATTTTCTATGCAACTAAAAAATGCAATTTTAAATGTACTAACATTTTTAAGCAGTATACTCAGGTAAAATATAAATGCCAACTTCGAAAAAAATTCAAGATTTAATTTAATCTTGAATTTTTTTCGAAGTTGGAGTTTAAAATAAACTTTTAGTGATTTGTTGAGCATTAACATAAAATTACTTTAACATAAAAAATTAATATTTAATACGTGGTAGAGCTGCAGTTAATAAAAAGTTAATACTGCAGTTATATTATTAGTATACTACTAACGTATACGTATCGTAGTTGTACCATGAATTAGTCGGCTCGACCGGGGAAGGACCACGCTCTCACAGAATACCAGCGTAAAATAGTAGCTTTACGCTGTGTTTCGTATGGCGAGTGTTAAGTGTGAGTGTTCTACACACTGAGTGAGTGTAGAGAACCGGCGACCCTTTTTACTGGAAACGAGGCATTCCATTCCCCATGGGTGACAACACATCTGCACTTAAATTCATAATCGAGGTTAGATGTAGATGTCTATGGGCCACAGCAACCACTTACCAGCTGTACTGTGTGCTCGTTTGTCACCCTTTCCTATAAAAAGGCCCCGTAGGAGATACGCAAGATAGTTCGGCTTAAGGTCGAGGCACTACGAGGCAGTACGAAGAGATTGAAAAGAGAATAAGAAAGACGTTTACTTATTATATTTATTTTATTAAGTGCTATTATTGATTTTTAAACTTCATTCGCACTTCTCATTAGTCGCCGCTTCTTGTTTGTCATCAAAAAAACAATCCTCAGTAAAATGTTTTGAGCACATGACGCTATATTTTGATGGAAACCAATTTTCTCTTTTTGTAACGTTTATCCATTTGTTTTTCATATTACCATCTTTTGGAAACCTATAGGGAAAAATCACACAGTTTAAATAAAATAACATTGTTATCGTACTTATCCAAAGCTCATACACGAAAAGAATAATTATAATTAATATTATAAAGTATTACTAAGAGTAGTAAATAATAATCTACTACTCTTAGTAATACTTTAATATTAAATTATATATATATACATATATATATATATATATATATATATATATATATATATATATATATATATATATCCATAACATTAATAAATTATGTATCTGTCTATATCTAATAAAACCGAAAAAAACTATATCTAATTACAATAATCATTTTGTGGATATTATCGACAATACAAAATAAATATACCACCCCGCACTAGTCATTAGCGTCACGAGGCTAATTATGATAAGGAGGGACAGCCATACATGTTTGCAGTAAATGCAAAAAGGACGGGGAGTGACGCGTGACGGACCCGTCCAGTTTAACTTGGCCCTCGTTGCGTAATAAAAATGTTGAAAATATTTTGGTAAAATAAGGAAATGTACTTACCGATAAAGAGTCATTTTGTTTGTTGTTACACTATATGTTTTACTGTTGTTTCCGCACCATTTAACGGCACAACAAGACATGATTCCGTAAATTGATTTTAATTTATATTTTAAATGTAAGCCGTCTCTTCGGTTCTAGTTTTTGGTCGCAACTGGTTGGAAACAAAAGTGTTCCGAAATATATCAGTGACTAGTCACTGACGAGTTGACAGGTTTGGGTCGACTTGTATTACGTCTCTATAGGGTTAAGTGCTCGTAGTTAACACTAATACTAACATGTCCTATATTTGATGGTTATTTGGGAGATACATTTTATGCTCTATATTTTAATTTTTTTATTTTTTATTTTTTGCTGATGTTATTATGTTGTTACAGTTTCACGCGCTTTATCTTGTTAATAATAAATGATTTAATTTGTATTCTTTTATATATTATATGCATATTTTATTAATCGTTTATTATATAAGTAATTATATATGTTTTTCATAGAGTTCACGTATACTGATTGTTCTTGCGGAAGTACACGGTAACTGGTTACGGAGGTGAAGACGAATGTAATCCAGGGGGTCAATAGAAAATCAGCGTTAGGTTTCCAACCTGACGTCATGCTGAATTGGTTCCTATCTTATGGCATCACCCTGAGGCATTAGTTTTAAGAATATGTATTATGTATAATTTTTTTTCTAATTTTAACTTGCTGTTTATTTTTTCTTAAATTGTTACCTTTTTTTTGTTTTGACTTTGTTTCTGTGTTCTGGTGCCTTGTGTGTGTCAAAAATAAATATTTTTGCTTTCTTTCTTTCTTTCTTTCAGCATTAAGCTGCTATTTTACGCTGGTGTTCTGTGAGAACGTGGTCCTTCCCCGGTTGATCCGACCCATTCGTGCTACAACAATAGTATAGCTGCAGCATGGGTTTACTACGTAAAATTTTATTTACGTGTATAATAAAGAATTTTCTATCTATCTATTAAATCTAAACCTAAACCACCATCTAAATTATTTATAACGCTATACTTACGCCACTAAGAGCTGAGCTGGTGTGATACCAAGCCCGGCAGCCATAACCAGTATCAGGGGATCATCAATGACAGGAGATAGAACGCTCTTCATCTCTGCAGGCGTACCTTTGGAGCCCAACACACCGAAGCAGTTGAGCTTGATCCCGTACGCGTCGCAGAAGCCTGCAAGTCTATCTTGGCTTAGGTATGGATGACATTCCACCTGTAAAAGTTGAACAGTTGATTTTAGTGTTCTGTATCGAATTCATCAAAACGAAACACTTTTCGTATCACAGCGGTGTATGTTTGCCTCTCATAGAAATTTCTCTCCGGGAGTGTTTTACGCTGATAATTCAAACTCTAACTAAAAACTTTTAAATTCAATTTATAAAAGTAAAGTAAAGTTACAGCCTATATACGTCTCACTCCTGGGCACAGGCCTCCCCTCATTTCTGAGAGGGTTTTAGAGCAAGAAATAGTCCACCGCGCGCCCCAATGCGTGTTGGCGAACTTCACATTTCTTCAAAATATTTTTTTTCTTATTTCTCAGGCATGCAGGTTTCTTCACGATGTTTTCCTTCACCGCCGAGCACGTGGTAAATCAGAACTTAAAATTTCAATTAATAATTCCATTGGTGCCGGCGGGGACCGAACCCGGTTTGTTTGCGTATTGTGAAAGTTTCAGCGAGCGCTAACCATCTGAGCTACCACGGCTCTCAAATGTAATTTATACTCATCATTATTATTATCATGATCATAACAAGTCGACTGCTGAACTTGGTTTCTTCATAGACTTCTCACAATTTATGCAGTTGCCACAGTTGATAAATAAACGTTACAGCTTATCTGTCAACTGGCCTCTAGAAGGTTGATGTAAAAAAGCGCGCGTATATCAATCGTCTCCTGGAGGTTGATCGGCTCCGACGTATTTCAATGTGTTAAATTGCCTCTTACCATATTTATATTGCTCACTTTCAAACAATATGTACGAGAAATGACTAGAATGAATAACGTCATACTTCAAACATGTAATAATAAGCAACGCCGGCTGTTGGATTTTTATGACATCGCGTGCATTAGTTATATTCGTGAATTTTGTTGTGGTTGTGTTAAAACAAATGTATGAGTAAATGTGTTATTTTAATAGATTAATGTTCAATAATGTGTAAAAAATTTATTGTATTTATAATAATATGGACCGTGTAGTGGCGGTGTAAAAGGGAAACAAACCATATGGGAATCAGTCTTCCGGGTAGCAATTAAAAAGTAAAAAAATTCGGTAGCTAACCATTCTTTTTTGTGGCAGGTGTAATTGAATACATACTTTTGAAGGGAAACTTCTTTAGGCACACTAGGATTTTCTCCTGTATCTTAGAGGCAGTTTACACACATTATTTGTAAGGCCATGACAATTATTTGTGATTTTCAGTGCAGGATACGAACCTGCGGCCCCGAATTCAGCCACTCATTGCCACTGCGCTACGAAGCCGTCATGGGATGGGGGAAAAGCACTGAACTGAAAATGTACTAATGTTATGTAATGTTTGATTTCAAAAACATTTTATCAAGCTTTCTATTTGGTATGATTATCGGAAATAAATTTACAGTGCCTGCCATGAAAGACATGGCTTCACTCAATTCATACATATCAATACAGGGGACATTTTGAATACCATTTTAAGGGTTTTAGTCGTTCGGCTGAATACGAATATTCGGTAAAGCTGCCGATTATGCCGAATACCGAATATAAAACGAATATTCAGCCCATATATATATCTCATAAATATCCGATCCATCACCTGATTGACAACCGGCTTCAACTGTCCCTTCTCCATCACCCGATGCACCTGCTCCGAGTTGAAGTTGCTGACACCGCCCCTCCTTACCAGACCCTTGTTGATCAGGTCCTCGATGCCGTACCAGGCGTCCATGTAGTCGTGCTCGGAGAATTGAAGAACGTTTGCGATTTTAGGAATGGGGTCGTTGCCTTCCTGTAAAGTTTATTACAAATGGGTTAGTGCGGTGTCTACGTCGTTTTTTTTATAAATTGCTTCATATACATATGTATAGATATATTGTTTTTATGATTGTGCATTTTCATCAGGAATATGGGACCGGTAATATCCTATTTTAGTTTTATTCTGTCGCCTCTTACGACACCGGGACCATATGGGGTAGTCAATTTAGTCTGTGATTTTATTTATTTTTTTATTTTAAAAACTTTATTTCGTCCCTTTAGACAAAAAAAGGATATAAAGGCGGACTTAATGCCTAGAGGCATTCTTTACCAGTCAAAACCCATAGTTTTTTCTGTGAATTTATACTTTTGACTTTAGTCTGTGTGAAAACCTTATGCCTAATCATTACAAATCGAAGACAGTGGAATTTAAATAAGAATAAGAATTTTAATTTGAAAAAATGTCCGTTTTATTAACGATTGGAGGTGCCACTATACACAGTCAATAGCATTAGGTTTATAAAATTGAAAGCATCAGTTCAGAATTCAAAACAATATTTCAATTCAACATTCATTAATAATAAGCAATACGTATTCTAATTTGTTCTATCATCAAGTAGAATTGGTTGTAGTTTTAGGAATTATTTTCATTTTGTGTTTTAAAATTGAAAAATATTGTTTTTATTAAGATTTTTGGCTTGGATGCTTGTCCTTTAAGCCATGTCTTCATTTTATTAGGGATCTCGTTTTTGTAGATTTTTTCTTCCTAAAATGCTGATGCGTCATATTGCGAAGTTTTTGGGTAATTTTGACGACATCTGAACCAGCAGGCAGTCGATGACGACGTTAACTCAAATTCTTGAGGCACCTACGCGTATAAAATAGCTTAAGCGCCTATACTACCTCATCTCAAATTCTAATTTCGCCCCCGCTCTTCATTCTTCATTGTACATACTAACGGCTACTCAAGCTAAATTTTCTAGTACAAGTTGACCCCCCATTGTACGGAAAGCCTATACAATGTGAGATTAGCCTATACTGGAAATATCTCTCTGTAATGTTGCCAAATATAGGTTCGTCCCGTAACAGATGCCGCAGCAGACTGATTGAACAAATTGAAAAGGATAGCGCTATTACTACCGCGTGCAAAACAAGAGACAGAAACAGAGTATGCTCGCTTAGACAAAAATAACGAGATCACGTAGAAAAATAAAAAATAAATCGTCAGGATTTGAGATAATATTATCATCCATCTATCACATTAAAAATCATCATTCAATTCCATAAGGTTTCAGAGATCTAACTCAAAATAAGTGCAAAACGAGGTTTTTTAGTTTTTTTTTAGTTGAGAATTTTTAATCGAATTTGGTTTTTGCTTCAACAGATTTAAAGATTATAAGTCCAAGTGCAGGAAGTCGATGGATGCAGGTGGCTCAGGACCGTGCTTTGTGGCGTTATTTGGGGGAGGCCTATGTTCAGCAGTGGACTTGTGAAGGGCTGTAATGATGATGATGATGAAGTCCAAGTTTAATATGTCCAATTAGCAAACTCTTAGGTTTTATAGATACCGAGATCCAGATCGCTCAATATTACCAAAACAGCATTATATGGACTCTTAAACCCTATATTAACAGCGAAGCACGTGTTCGTCTTTTCTACTAATAGTTTACTTGCGCAAACACTTACTACACAAAATAGCATCCCTTGTACGTATAAAAATTCATTTAAAACCAATCAAAATCCACTTCAAACCATTATTTAAACGATAAAACAGGAGTAACAATCCGTCCCGCTAAAATTCCCATTCATTTCGCGCTATGAGGTGCGCGAGCATGTTGTACAGAGGGAAACCATAACGGCTTCACTTTTTGTTAATTATTGATTTTACTACCTATTTTTCATACCATACGCTATTTATGAGACGATTCTTAAGAAGTAAACTCCAATAAACATCAATAATGAACTTTTATGGACTAAGGGGCTTATTAAGGAATTTTATTCTGCTAAAGGCACCAGTACAGAAAACGTTGGGAAAGGGTTGGTTTTGACTGCTCTATGATTTTAGTAATCACCTTGAGAGACATAGGATTGTGTATGAGGAAGAGGTCGAAGTAGGCCAGGCCCATGAGCTGCAGTGAGGTTCTGCATGCCTTCTCCACCAAGTCACGCCGGTGGAAGGTGCTCCACAACTTGGAAATGATGAAGAGGTCGTCTCTGAAATCAAATTGTGCAAGTGATATTATTTGTGTATAAAATGCTATGTTGGTAGTAAAATAAGATATAATTGATATTATGGGTAAAAATGGATGTTATGGGCATATATTATATTAAATTCTAATGTTAGTATAAAACCGAGACCGTTCCTAATCGTATCGAAAAATATTCGAAGCTACGTTAAAATCTTTCCTCTCATTATTGAGATAAAAACTGATTTCAAATTTAAAACTAAAAATATATTTTTCCATATTATTTTCTAGCTTCTATGAAAACTATTTCATTCAGCAACAAATAGCAACATGTAAAAAACGTATACATTGTCATATCGAACGACCGAAAATAAAAAGACGTGTGGCACTTGGGGACTGCCGCGGTAAAGCTATTGCATAGCATTTTGTATCAACTTATGCAATTATAATTATTTATTTATTTTATTTATGCAGTATTTCTTTTTCTTTGATATTAATTCAAGTTACTTAGGTTAATCCAATCAAATTCAACCAGATTTAACCGAACCCGCGTTATAACGAACTCACTATTTGTGAAAAATACTGTATCACCGGACCGCGTCGCAAAAAACTCAGGTTCGCGCAGTACATACGTCAGGGCGGCCGTACGGCAATTATATTAACAAGACGCGCAACTACTCAGTTCCACGCTCCACGGCAAGATTTGTTACTTATTATTTATTGTCCAATTAATTGTCTTTAAGTTAAAATGGCACGCTCTATTAACATAAGCCTAAGACAAAACAAGGAGACTTTCAATATATGAACAACCCGGCTTCGCGCAAAAAACTCTCGCGACCCCTATAATGCGACCGGAGAACGTCATCGGCGCAGGCGCCGCGTGCCTAGCTAGGAGCGCGCCCTAGCGGCGGGCCGGGTGCAGACGCTCCCTAGCTCGGCTCGATACCAACAGGGGTGACTAAAGATGGGCGAAATTGTTATATTTTTTCTAATTCGTTATGTTGTTGTAATATATTTTTCTAACTGTTGTTTTAAACTGTTATAATATATTATAACAGTTTTAAATATTACATTGTACACGCGGTTAGTTCAGTTCAGTCGTCGGCTGTGTTCGCGTTTTGTTGTATGTTGTTATAACGATTATAAATATTACGATGAAAGATTATTACGATTATAAATGACTAAAGATGGGCGAAACTGTTACATTTTTCTAATTCGTTATGTTGTTGTAATATATTTTTCTAACTGTTGTTTTAAACTGTTATAATATATTATAACAGTTTTAAATATTACATTGTACACGCGGTTAGTTCAGTTTTGTCGTCGGCTGTGTTCGCGTTTTGTTGTATGTTGTTATAACGATTATAAATATTAGATGATTATAAGTATTATATGAAGACAAAAAATATTTTTAAGTTGTATCAGCATCAATTAAGTGTTTCGTGTTTTAAAGAGAATCATTTAAAATATTTATGTTAAGTTCAATGAACTTCCCTTCCTACTTTTTATAGGCTTAAGGATGTCTGAATGTATGCTAAGCTGTGTAATTATTGTATCTGTTATAATTATTTACTCATATTTTCAAAAAATTTACTTTTTTTAAATAAATAATTAATTTTTAAAAGAAATAAATAACTCATTCAGGCGTAGTTAGAAGCTCATTGATGTTATGTCATTTTGATTGAATTTTTACATTATTTACACTGTGGTCAATGTTTTAGTTATCTACAATTATTTAGGGGAGGTAGGGGAGGGACGGGCAGTCGGGAGACATGGGCACCCCCTTTTATTCTGGTCCGGTCACAGATTTTATTTTTTCCCTACTTTGATAGTTTACTTTACCGACTGGCAACAATGTTCATCCATAGACTATCTGTCATTTCTGTCAGTTGTCAAACACAGACACGTTTGAAGGTTATGCGCTCGTAAAAGTAAATATTTTGTTGTGGTTTCGGATTGTGATAAAGAGAAAACGAACGAAAGGTATGTCTACTTTTCATTGTATATCTATTGTATATTTACGAACCTATAAATAAAATTGAAATTCATGCTTAAATAGCTTAATAAAAAAAAATACCGATCACTTATGTTGAAAATGTATACGGAGGGAGTAATGGGCATTCTGATGTGAGGGAGGTTTGGGCATGCCCAATGCTCCCTCCTTTAAGTCTAGTATGGCAGGATTTTTAAAAATTCTAATTACCTGCATTAATTAAACTATTTGAATTATATTTAACTACAGAAAGATGCCATTTAAATTCAAAAAGAAAGGTCTGCGACGGGAAATTCCTAAAGATGTGATATTACGAGCCATAGAAGAGATATCAAAAGGATCAAAAATAAAAACAACGGCTGATAAATATAAAATTCCTAGATCAAGTATGCAACGGTACCTTAAACAAGATTCTATAAAGGATTCTTCGCATAGATTTATAACCTCACAAATTTTCAACGACGAAGAAGAACAAAAATTATCAAATTACATAATAGTTTGTTCTAAACATCATTATGGATTAACAAAGATACAAGCACGTAAATTGGCCTATGACTATGCTGTAGCCATAAAGAAAACTAATATTCCTGATAACTGGATCAAGAACAAAATCTTAACTTTTATTTTTGGATTGTATCAGATATTAAGTGTTTTATATTTGGATATTAAATATTTTATAGGCCATGCCCAAGCCTCCCACAGGGTGTGTCCAAACCTCCCTGCCATAGGGAGCATTGGGCACTTTGACTGAGTTTCAGAAATTATCTTAAAATGTTGAGACTGATCATAATTTTAAGAAAGTTCTTTCTAAGATATCTAGCCAAATATGTGGTGCAAATATTTTCTGCATCAAATTGTAAAAAAGTGCCCATCCCTCCCCTACCTCCCCTACATTTTTTTCAGTTATTATTCAAAAATATAATTTGGTTTACTTTTGACGACGTACTTAAGTCTTTTGCGTCTATCCGATATTAAATCCGAACGACAAAACTCTTCATACACTCCTACGTGTCTTTGCTTAAGGTGACTCTAGTCGACATTATTTCCATAGAAATTTCGGAGGGGTTTTACTCCGCTGTTTGACAGTGTACATCCAAAGTTAAACATGATATCGTTTTGTCTCATTATTAATTTTGTTTGTACCGAAACAGAATAGTAAAATAAAAAGTCAGTAAAAAGTTACGAGCTACCAAAGATTCGTTTTTATTGCCAATTTTAACACAACTTTGGGCGTAAATTAGTAATAAAAGCAGTGTAAAATTTCCAAAACAAAGTCAATACCGACATAGCTCAATTATCGAAGAATTCAATAAATTTTATTGGTAATTGATTCATGCAGTGGTTTTTTCGTAAAACCCCCTCCTTCCAAAGGCCTTTTCGTATTTTTTTACGCGCGCGTGTTTATATGAATTATCGTGCATCTCACTGAATAATATTTCCCCCGGTGCGGTGCGGGAGGACGACACTTACACACACATACATGCGCGGTGACGCGCGCTTATTCTAGTTTTATTCGACTCAGTCAGCCTCAGCTGCGGCCTGTGACGTTCGTATGACTATAGTTATACCTGCGCTCTAAATTACTACGCTACATTGACCCCTGCTTGAACTTTGGATTAAATCAAATTGATATAAGCACAGACAAAAATAGAGGAATATATAAATAAAATTTTGAAAAAAAAACGATCTCAAAATTTTATTAATGTTCCGCTAATTTTATCTGTACTTACCTATGTCAATTTGATTTACATTCGATTATAATTATATTCTCAGACGTGCAGGTTTCCTCAATATGTTTTCCTTCACCGCCGAGCACGTGGTAAATCAGCACAATTGCAATTAACAATTTCATTGGTACCGGCGGGGATCGAACTCGGGTCTGCATGTCTAAGAAATTAAAAAATATAAATTTCGAAGAAATATGAAGTTCGTCAACACGTATTGAGGCAGCGTGGCGGACATTTCCTTGCCTTAAAACCCTCTCAGAAATTAGAGGAGGCCTGTGCCCAGCAGTGGGACGTATATAGGCTGTAACTTTACTTTTTTTTACTTTTATAAATATGTTATTTTACCGACGAAAATTTTAAAGAAAAATAAAAAATAAGCAACCGACAACCTCCTAGGTCCCTAGGTGACTTGCGAGATGTCAGTGTAACAAAACAAAACGGCCCAGAAAAACAGACTTTCCAACTGATAGCTAAATCAGCACGCAACAATTTCATTGGTGCCAGTGGGGATCGAACGCGGGTTGCTCCCGTACTGTGATACCTATAACGAGCGCTAACCATGTGAGCTACCACGGCTCTCAACGACATCATTCCGTTCGTGTACAGCGCTGAAGATAGCAGAGTAAAAAATTAGAGATTGTGGTGTTTGAAATTTGTCATCTGTGAGAGTGAATTTTATCTGTGTACCCTGTAACAAATAACTATATAGAAAAAATCTGAAAATGATATTTCGCCATTTTTGTTTATGTACTGGTTAGGAACTCGATCAAAAATTTGATAATTTTTCTGTTTTTATACGTTATTTCTAATGTTATTTTATATCAAATTAATTGTGAAAATATTTTCTTTAGGAAATATGTTTCATTACGACGATTCAAAAACGTTTACATATAATAATTTACCTCGAAATTCACTATACGCGATTATCGTTTATTGATTATATTATGTTGTTTAAAAAGTATTCCTATCAGCTTTGTGTTAAATGGATGCTAAATATAAAAGAATGCTTCAATATTGATAGCAATTTATAAACGAAATATCTGTTGAGATGTGTCTAGAAATTATTAATACTTATTTTTATTTATTTATTAAAAGAATAAATAAATAAAAATAAGTAAGTAAAAATAAGTATACATTTAGTTTGTAGGTAGGTACTGCTGATTGCTCAGCAAGCGTCGAGCGGCACAGAATAGGGTGGTATGTATGTGTGCATCGTGTTCGTGTAACTTCGTTTTTGTTCTAACGGTTCGGAACGCCGTGCGAACAAGACGTGCGTTCTAACTGCTCTTCACTGATACTATCTCTGTCGGGCACGATGCCAGGTGAGACAACGTGCTTTTTGGCCGCGCCCACCAATGAGTTCGAGCCCGCGACTTGTGCCACCTTAAGGTGAAGCTTTAAATTTGTAATTTTACTTTAAAAAAAATTGTTTTGCAATAATTGCACACTGGTTTGCACAAATGGCTGCGCTACGCTGGCATGACATTATTATACACTTTTACAAACAACACGTTACATCCTATCTATATTACACTAAATATTTAAAATTACTTTAGGAATAAAACTTAACGAAAAATAAACAAAAACAACAATAGCTTTTTCACGTAATATGGGGACCTGCTATCAAAACATTACGTATATTATTTAACAGATAACAGTGTCATTGTCATCTCAGCTAGACAGCTAACTGAACACTAAACTGATATATTATATATTACAACAGCCAAATTAAATAACAGGCACAACAGGTAACTAATGAAGGAAATAATATATTTTTGTTTACCGTTATAATTTAGTGTTAGTAAAATAAGCTCTTATTAAGTTAGCTTAGAGTTTAAATTAGTGTAAGCTATAAGCAATCCTTGTGGCATAATGAATGTAGGTAGTATTTTATTGACTCCCATTGTCTCGGCCGACGCGACGGTTGGACCGTAAACGTAAACACATGACTCTTTCTAACGATAATGAATATAATATTATAACAGTCAATGGTTCATTATTCTAATGTGTTGTAAGATTAAAAATATATAATGAAATATATTATCTGTTGTATGTTATAACGCCCAACTTTAGGGGTGACCGACCGCGCGCACAAATGCAGCTAGCCTCCCCCTCCCGCACCTCACTAATCGTCGCTTCACACCGCTTGAGATAAGACGATCTACTATCAGGCGCTAACAAACCCCCGTCCCGGACATAAGGACCTATGTCCGCGAGTAAATTGGCAATTAGAAGACGCTTTGTATTGTTGGTTTTTACAAAAACGATCAACTGGGCAAATGATATCTGGCCCTTTGCTTTGTGAAAAAGCATTACAGTTAAATAAAAAATTAGTTGACGGCGGCTCGTTTGTCGCAAGTAACGGATGGTTATATAGATTTATATCTCTTCATGGAATTTAATCAATGTTTATTAAAAAAAATAATAATTTCTTAATAAACATTGATTTTCGTTGAAATTGTTGTTTTTAATAAACACATAACATTATGTATGTACATATGTACTACAAATGCACAAAACCCGCTTTTCTTCATACATTCGATCATCCGGATTTTCGATTATCCGAATCCCTAACGGCAACAATTAGTCCGGTTAATCGAGTATATATATATACATATTGAGACTCTAAATTGAGAATTTAAACTATACGCATGTGTGTGTTTGTGTGTATATAAATAAAGAGGGCTACTTTTAATATCGCTCATTTTAATATCAAAAATTTAGGTTATCTTTATAGCAGTATTATATTTTCAATTCAAAATTAGTACTGCATTTGTGATAATAATAAAATGTAGGTATGTATATAGAGTACTCACTCATTTTCTTTCACTATTTTTTCGTGACTTTCTTCATTAATAATAAATGCACTTTGTTCATTCATATTCAAAATTTCAAAACACTTTATACACAAACACCGTGTCGAAGACTGAGGAAAAGAAACGACGTTAGACCATCGTTAGACAATGCACGGCCTTCAAGCCACACCTCCGTGCCCGTCGGAGAGCGTGAGGTTTTTTCGTTACGGAATTTCTGGATTTTCCCGCACTCAAGGTCCGCGATAGAAGCTATTCAATAGCTTAAAATTTGTAATTCTGTTCTTAATTTTCTCGAAAAATAAGAGTTTCCGAGCACTAAATTATTGTATTTAAAAAAATTGATCTTTCAACCAGTAGCAGTAGCAGTTTTGATCTAAGGCAGGGCTGTGTGACAAACTGGCACACAGTCCACCTGTTGGTAAATGGATGCTGTGGCTCATAGATATATACATTTATCCTCGAATACGAATCAAAGTACAGATGCGTTGTGACCCGTGAGGACTAACATGAAATGCCTCGTTTCCAGTAAAAAAGGGTCTCCGGTTCTCCACACTCTCCATAAGAAACACAGCTGCATCAAGTTGCTATTTTACGCTGGTATTCTGTGAGAGCGTGGTCGTACCGCGGTCGAGTCGATTTATTCGTGCTACAACAAATATATCTGCAGGATGGCTCTACCACGTATAAACACACCCTTACTGGAACACAGTACTGCAGGCACTGTTGCTTTGCAGCAAAAATTGGTAAGAGATTGGAACCAACCCAGGAAGACGTAGGCAGGAAACAAGTTAGACCAATTAGTACAATCAGTAAAGGTCTTAAGTGTAATGTACATTTGAAAATTAATAAAATAATACAATGAATTTTCAATAGGCTTCAAAAAAGGAAGGGCTTCTCAAATTGTTGTCATATTCTTCAAATCGATTCAAATCCTAGGCAGGGCACATTCATAAACACGCAGAGATCTACCAACATAAGCAGTCTTACCAGCAAGTGTGAAGCATAGCAGACTGCCGCAGGGTGGCGATGAACAATTCAGTTACCGGTACCGTTACAGTCTTTTAAAGTTCGCTGCTGAAGATTTTTGTTACGTGGAGGCACGCGGCAGATATATTATGGTTGTAGCACGAATGGGTCGGCTCGACCGGGACAAGACCACGTTCTCACAGAATACCAACGTAAAATAGCAGCGTAACGCTGCTGTGTTTCGTATGGTTAGTGTACAGATCCCGAGACCCTGTTTTACTGGAATCAAGGCATTCCATCTTGTGACAACGTATTTGCGTTTTGATTCTTAATTGCGGATAAATTTGTATGTCTTTGGGCCACAGCATCCACTTACAATGCCATAAAAAAGGGCTTCCTATAAATCGTCTCGTAGTAATATCTAGTAATAATAAATATATAAATATATATAGTAATATCCTCCATATTTGCCATAGTTGCCATGCTTGGCAAGCGGGTTGGCAACCGCAGTCCTTTATTTTCATTTGTTATTAGGGAAATGCTGCCCATCTCCTGATTTGTTTCCCCCTGTCGCATCCGCCGGATGATATAGGGTACGGGATATTTTTACATCGCCACTCCACTTCACTTCACTTCACTTCGCCAGTCAACGGATTAATTGACATTTAACTAACCGTTTCACAGTCCCATCCTCGATCTTTTCTTTAATCGCTTCTCCGATCTCCCGCTCGTTTCCATAAATGTAGGCGGTGTCGAACGCGCGGTAACCCAAGTCGATAGCCGCTTCCACGACGTGTTTGACCAAACGTTTGTCCAACTGCAAGAGAGGTAGCTGTTCAGATGCGTGTGACAAATGTTTGTCAGATAATTTGATGCAAATTTTCCGCAACCTAAAATCTATAAAAGAAGATTAGCCAACTTTAGTCATGTGTCAAGTCCTTCTTCATGACGTAGGAGTGTAAAAGAAATTCCTTCTTCAACAGGAAATGAGGTGAAGTATTCCCTTAGGCTGGCACCTCTTAGAAAAAATTATAGCTGAAATAAAACACCAATGGCGTACAGTTGCAGTGTATGAACATTCACGACCCCACATCCCGTAGGTGTCGTCACAGGGGACAGAAGCAAACAGAAGATGGACGAGTTTTAGGAGCAGCATATTCCTAAAAAAATAATATAATAAAAACTGAGGTAACGGACCCGCTTGCCAAGTGTGGTAACTATGGCAAATCCACCCCCCTCTATGAGGCAAACTATGGAGATCTATGTTAGCATGTATAATAGCAAGAGACTTGAAAGGCTGTAATGAGTTTATAAGGTATGATACATCGACTTTTGTAATACATACAGCAAAGAAGTGGAATGATTAGCCAGCATCTGCCTTTCCGTTTTTTTTATAGGACATGAGTGAGATTAAATATATTAAATTATTTATAAAATTATATAGAGCCACAGCATCCACTTGCCATTAGTAAAAAAATTCATTCAATTACAATGTCTTAAAATGTTTTAAACAGACTTTTGTTTCAAAATGATCATCACTCTTTGTTTGGACCAAGACAATGTATTCAATATATTATTTTTATATATAAAAAGTTGAATCCGAATTTAGCATTTGCTTATTTGACTGTTTTGAGTGGGCTAAATAATATCAAAAAATAAGAGAAGAGTGTGGTTTGCAAGATGATGTTGTGACCAGGATTAAGAAAGGAATGCTTCGGTGGTTTGGTCATGTGGAAAGAATGAATGAGGAAAGAGTGACAAAGAAAATTCATGTTGCAGAAGTGAATGGCAGAGTCGGAAAGGGACGTCCTAGGCGAAAGTTTATCGACCAAATTGGCGATTTATTGAAAACGGGCCAAATTAGGAGTACCCTTAACCGACGAGCATGTATGCGTAGGTATATGGATGTGGAGGAGGCGAGAGAGGTGTGTCAGGATCGTGCCAAATGGAAGTCTGTAGTCTCTGCCTACCCCTCTGGGTGACAGGCGTGAGTGTTTATGTATGACACTAAGGAAGTATGCAGTTTGTGAGCATATCTTGGACGGCCCCTATGATAGACCAAAAATCCTCGCGAAAGAAAATCGATTTCTGCCAAAAATGATATATGAGGCCATTGAAATTAAAAAAAAAAACATCCAAATTTCAATAGAGAAGGAGACTATTTACCACCAGCTTGGCATCCCGTTATTGATAAAATTAAAACTAAGCGCAAGCATACCTCTGCAAGACTTCAAGACACAGTAAGCTCATTCTCCGTAGATCGGAGCATAAGTAATAAATTAAAATCTGAAGGTACTCCGGGTTAAAACCGACATCGGGTGACCATGGGTCACGGGGGACTGAGAAGCACTGGAAAGCACCCGAAACGCCGGGAATTAAAATCAAGTAAATTAAACGCGATAAAATTCGTTAAAAATAATTTTATTCAATGTGTAGTGTTCGCGTAAATATAAGAAATTGTAATATTACGACCACGAAACAATAATTAGTTTGTATTTTTTCTTTAAATTAAAAAATATAAAAAAACGAACAAATATTACTTTTACAAATTTACAGAAATTTTTAATTTACAGAAACCACTCACAATTAGAATATCGTCAAAATATTATTGTCTTGGTATGTACATAACGCAATATCTTCGCCAGTCGTTTAAGGGTTTCCAACCCTGCGGGTGGAAAAATAAAGGATGAAATTTTAATGTAACTATTCAAATGACATTTAGGGGGGGGTTGGGGTGTGTTTGAGGGGGCTTCAATTGTGATATTCTTTCAACCACTCAAAAGGGTAAGTAACGACGTTGCCACTTGAGAACCTTTCTTCTCCATCGGTTATCGTTTATTCGAGCTATGTGGCCGACTGATTACGTCTTTAGTTTACTAATTTACTGGCTTATGTAGGTTACTCTGGTTCTACTGCGGATATACTTATTTATAAATCTATCACGCAGAGAAACTCCGAGCATAGCCCTCTCGATAGCCGAGCGCTGAGCGACCTTGAGCGTCCTCATACGGCCAGCGGTGCAGGACCACGTCTGAGATCCATATGTCATCACTGACAACACGATGAAATGATCCACGCCAGCACCGATGTAATTGTTCATTGAAATTTTAAGTGTCAACACGCTCGGCGTTGAAGGAAAGCATTATGAGCTGATGAATTGCTACACAACCTTCTAATAAAGCAGCTATGCTTGCGCCCCGAAATGAGATGGTAAATAGCCTCATAGGGGGTATTTTGCCATAGTTTCCACGCTTGACATGGGGATTGGCAACCGCAATTTTAATTATTTTGTGTTGTTATCATACATGGTAGAGCCACGCTGCAGCTGTGTTATAGTTGTAGCACGAGTAGATCGGCACGGCCGGGGAAGGATCACGCTCTCACAGAGCCAGCGTAAAATAACAATTTAATACTGCTGTTTCGTATGGTGAGTGTAGAGATCCGGAGACCCTTGTTACTGGAAACGAGGCATTCCATCTTAGTCCTCAAATAGACATCGCATCGGCATTTCTTAATTGAAGATATATCCAGATGTCTATGGGCTAAAGCACCCAATTACCACCAGTTGGACTGTGTGCTTGTTTTTTTCTCTCTTTATTATGTTTACCAACAATTGATTACACTAACAAATCAAATTAATACAATTACTTAAAAGTTTATTAACACAAGTGCTACAATCACTTAAAGGTAAACTCCGCATGCATATAACTTTATAAAAAAAAACTGAAAAAACAATAAGTTGTTCCTCAACTAAAATTGAATATATATCTATTATAATTGATAGAATCAGGCGTTACTTTCCGAAAATTAATTATAACAAAGATGTTAGTATTTAATTTGCAACCTTCCGCTTAATTAAATACAATCATGTGTCTTACCTGGATTGAAGAGGACCTCGAGCCCTCCTTCAATTGCGTGCACTAATCCCGTCACCACTAGTCCCAGCACCACTACTCCCAACACCAATATTCTAGGAAATACACACCATCGACAATAGACACGTGTTTCGCCTCTACACGAGGCATCCTCACGGGATGTAGACTCTACGGCGGCTGACCGCTAAGTGAGCGGTGAGCCAAGGCGAGTTATTCCAAGGACGTCACATCATTGTATTTAATAAAGCGGAAGGTTGCGAATTAAATATTAACATCTTTAATACAGTAAACCCTCGTTAATGCGAACACGGTTAACACGAATTTTGGTTTAAGGCGAACAAAAATTTGCTCTAGACAATACTTCCATAAGCTTCAATGTAATTATGTTCGGTTAAGACGAACCCTCGTTAATCCGAACTTCGAACAACTTTTTCGTCTCTTCACGGTTAATTATCGGATAATACGAACTATAAAAATTCCCAAATCATGTATTTTGTATATTTTTTGTCCTTTTTCGGTCAATACCGGTAAACAATGACTGAAGAGATTAGAAAAGTCATTAACTCGAGTTTCTAAAAATAGACAAAGGATTAGGATATCAAACTCGAGTACCTAAAAATAGAAACAATACCTCAAATTTTCTTTCCGTCTTACAAAATTGAAAAGGTTGTAAACTTTTGAAAACTAATTAACAAAAGCAAAGGCTTCTTAACAATTTGGCTTTGTTAAGAAGTGTACATATAAACTGATGTCTGATGAACATAATAATAATGTTAAGTTATAAATGATATGTAATAATAATGTTAAGTAAAAAATTTATAGCAAAAATTATTGTAAATATAAAATAATAATATCACAGTTATTAATAAAAATGTTTCTATGATGAATCATAATAATGAGTTTAGAAACACGAATTCATTTTTTGCATTGTTCGGATTACACGAACTCCCCTGTAACACGAACTATTTGATTTTTTCGTGTTCGTATTAACGAGGGTTTACTGTATATCTATTAGTAAAAATAGTGCTACACAAACTTATAAATTAAAAATCTATTTTAACTTACGCTATTTATTTATACACTAAATTGTTTGTCGCTTACATTGAATAAAAGAAGATGCTGTCACCCATCATCTGCTCAACTTCCTTCCGTCGCATCTTACGACAACCACGGGATGATATGGAGTAGTAGATATTCTTACAACGCCTGTACCGGTAGTACTAGTGAATTTTAACCAAACCTTAGAACTTACTAGTGCAGTCCCTAAAGCGATTACTGGCATCCGTGAACCGTCGCGCAGTTCTTGATACATTGTGTCTATTGCTACGTAGTTTGTTTTAGCGTTGACCAGTTCAGCGATCTTTTTTCTGTACGTATCCTCGTCCATTTGACTGTTGACGACATCTGTCTTGTACACCTTCTTTGGCAGATCGGTGGTCTTCTCCGTTCTAGCTGGCGACAGCTTACCCTGTGAGGTGTCGAATTAGTTAATATTTTTGTAATTAATCAATTAATAGGTAGACACTACCATAGAATATCAGCGTAAAATAGTAGCTTAATGCTGCTGTGTTTCATATGGTGAGTGTAGAGAACCGGAGACCCTTTTTACTGGAAACGAGGCATTCCATCTTAGTCCTCACGGGTGACAACGCATCTGCATTTTGATGAACTTTTCATGATTTTAAACTGTTATGGGAAAGACGCTACAGCTCATTTATTGTTTTAGTTTTGTTTGTATGGCAACTCGTACGTGGCCTAGGGAAAGGACCCTATTATGATTTTAAAGAGGATCTATTATGATTTTAAATTTGGTTTAGTCGAACAATTAAGTTTACAACGGTTACAATCAGTATTAGGGGACTAAGCTCCATCACGCGCTACAATTTTTATGTGGTTTGCTGAATTCAAAAGGGGTAAAATTAACCTTAAAGGTGACCAAAGAACCGGGGCCCCGCAAACAGCAGTAATGGCAGAAAATTTATGGACTACTGAAATGCTGGTGCGAAATGACCCACGAATCACATATACGGACGTCGAAAAGATTTTAGGCATTAGTTCGGGGAGCATTCATCATCATACATCAACATCTTGGAGTGAGGAAGCTTTGTTGTCGATGGATCTCTCGCGATAAACAGACTCGTGTGGATTGGTGCCACGAAATGCGTCTACCTTTTGAAAACTGGGCATCTAGGCGTGTTTCAGAAATCGTTACTGGTGACGAGACATCGATTTATCAATATGACCCGGAAAATATAAGGCAATCATCGGTATGGGTCTACTCAGAAGGGCAGTTACCAACAAAACTGCAAAGACCTCGTAACGTCGGCTAAAAATGGTGGTTAGTTTTTTTCGCGAAGTGGACATTTGTCGACGTCAATGCTGGTAAATTGTAGGTCAGTTAACTCTGAATAGTATACGTCGTTGCTGTCCTCTGCAGGGCATAATGCCGTGCAGGTCTCGGGCCTCGGGGTGTACCCCTTTGCCCGGATGTTCCTCACGGCACACTACAGTGTGCCGGTCCTGGGCGCCTAGATGTTATAGGCGTTGTTTGCGACTTTTGTCGCAGTTGGTTAATTTTGTCGTTTAAGGGTGGTAATCTGTAATTTGTGTTTAATCACAAATTATTATGTCTGAGTTGGCCTTTCTGCGGCATTGAGGGTTTTACTCGACTCCCTATCTATATAGGGAGGAGTTCTCTTGGATAGGGTCGCCCGTCCGGCGGCCTTGCATGCAACGGCGCGAAGCCGTTGAGGTGTTCATGTGGCCCGTTGTCGGCACGGTCAAACATACCGCGCGCTAGCCGGACCACGAATTCATGCAGGCTCTCCATCTTCAAGTTGGCCGCTATAACGTCGTTACGGGCGTAGCGACCCGCTCCGACTATGGTTCGTAATGACAAACTCTGCTGGGCCTGAAGTCGCTGCTTCTGATGATCGCTGAGGAGTGCATACCAGGCCGGAGCAGCGTATGTTAGCAGGGGTCTTATGTATGTTTTATAGATAGTTAACTTCGACTTTGTCGGTAACTTGGATGTCAGGACAGGGCGGAGCATTGCCCGCGCACATCGAGCTTTGCGTATAGCAGAGTCGACGTGCGCAGTCATACGCAACATCCTGTCAATCCGACATCCAAGGTAGGTCACGGCCTTCTTATATGCGATCTCCTGGCCTCCGAGGGTTAGCGGTGGTGGCAGATTTCTATAGCGGCGAGTGAGTAGAGCGGTCGTCTTGCTAACATTGACGGCCATCCTCCACTCATCCAACCATGGTGGCAGCAGGTCCAGCAGACGTTGCATCCTGGTAGCTGCAATGTGGGCTCTTCTGGACGACGTGAAGTATGCGCTGTCATCCGCAAAAAGCGCTAATTCGACGTCGTCCTCCCACTCGTGCAAATGTCCTGCCAGGGTAGGGATGTCATTTGTGTACGCCGCGTACAGGGCTGGTGACAGACAGCTGCCCTGTGGCACACCAGCTGTTATGTTCTTTATTGCGGACACGGCGTCCTCTACGCAGACGTAGAACTTCCTGTCTTCCAGGAAAGACGCCTCTAGCCGCAATATAGCGGGAGGGATACTTGTTTGTACGTCTAACTTGTAGAGTAATCCTGTGTGCCACACCCGTTCGAACGCCTTCTCGATATCGAAAAAGAACGCCCAACGATATGCGGCCACGGTTGTGTTCGGCCGCAAGCAGGTGCAGCACTCTGGTCAGCTGTATTGCTGTTGAGTGACCCCTCCTGAATCCATGTTGCTCCGCCCGAAGTTGGATGCACAGGCGGAGACGTCTTAACAGTAATCTTTCGCACAGTTTAGCTATATGCGGTAGCAGCGTGATCGGCCTGTAGTTGGCAGCTCTACGCCTGTCCTTCCCGGGTTTCGGCAAGACGATGACTTTGCCTTTCTTCCAGTCCTCCGGGAAGTGGGATGTTCGCAATATGCCGTTGTAGAGCCGACCTATCTCTACAAGGACTCTATTGGGCAGCTGTCGTAGTGCAGCGTTGGTAATGCCGTCGTGCCCCGGCGCCTTCCTCGGTTGCAGGTGGGTTACTGTCCTCCGCAATTCAGCGGGGGATATAAACCACTCTCCTGCAAGCGGTGGCGCGGGCGACGACAGGAGCTCCTGCACGCGGCTCTCCTTCCGGGTATGGATTTCCATGAACTCCGCACTTGCTGGGTTCGGCATAAACTGCTCCTCGAAGTGCTCAGCTAGGATATCCGCTCTGCCCTTGGCATCGTAACGTTGAATGCCCGCGTTGTTAGTCAGCTGGCAAACAGGTGGTCGAGTTTTCGTTAACTGTCGGTTCAATATATAGAGCGACGCATGCTGTTCGTCTGCCTTCCATATGCGCCGCTCCCAGGCCTCTCCTCTGTGGGCCTGTATTGCAACCGACAGTTCGTCTGACAGGGTGTTGAGTCTCCTTTTTATTCTAGGGCAGAGAGTACGCGCCCAGAGCTTCCTCAGCGCTCTTTTGTGGTTTAGCTGCACGCGGATCTTAAGCGGCAGCTCCTCTTTCCTTCCCGTGAGAGGGACGATCGTAAAGGCCGCGTTGAGGGCCTCCTTGATCCACGTGGATATTCTGGTTGCAGCGGCCTCTACATCGTCCGCTGAGTTGATCGGTGTATGGACTGGAGGTCTCTCCTGCAGGTGTTGGTGGTAGAGCCTCCAGTCGATCTTGGTCTTGACAGCTCTGGGCGGTGAAGTCACTGCCTTAGTGCCAAGGGTTATCAGAATCAGGAGGTGCTGTGTATTCAAGTAATACAGCACTTCTACCACTACTGGATAGTTGACGTTCCTAGTGAGCACGATGTCTAATACATCCGGACGCCTCCTAGGGTCGCTAGGGATGTGCGTCGGTTCCTCGGGACCTAGAACGTCGTAATCATGGTGTTCTGCGTCTTCATAGAGTTCACGATCCGGCGGGGTGATCATTCTAGACCCCCACGCCGGGTGTTTGGCGTTCAGGTCCCCGGCGATGATGGTGGGTGCCGTACCTTCCATTACCGTCCGGATGTCTGAGGAGTGAAATGGAGTCCCTGGCGGGCGGTATGCTGCAAAGGATCCTTAGTTCCTCGCCCGCCGCCTCCATTTTTATGCCGATTGAACGCATCGTCTGGAAGTCTGGCAGTTCCAGCTCCTGGTGGACGATATCTCTCCTCACCAGGATCGCTGTCCCTCTATAAGCGACCCCTTGAGGATCAACCTCGTCCCTCCTGTAGATGGTATAGTTGGGCAGCTTTAGATGCGTTGATGGTCACCCATGTGACCATCAACGCATCTATGATGCGTATCTATGATGGTTTGTTTCACCCAGCAAGATCACCTGGATATCCTGTTGTTGGGTGACCGTGCGGAGTTCATGGATCCTTTGACGAATCCCGTCCGGATTCCAGTATAGCAGGCGCAGGTTAATATCCTCCATAATGCCTTGCTAGTAGCGATGCCAGCGCCTTCATGACGGCGGTAACGGGATCAGTCCCGGTCCTAATGTTGGCCAGGATTTGTGTTCCGACTTCGATGGCTATGCCTACCAATCTGTGGATAGTAACAGCCGTTTCGAAGTCGGAAGTTGGTGGTCTGCGTTCTGCACTACGCTTTTGTGAAGGCACTGGTCTCGGGGCATTGGTTATGGCCTTCCTTTGCGCAGAGCGCGCTCTATGTGTGGAGCGGGCTCTGCTTTCCGGTAGGGCCCTTTCTGGCGCTCTACTTGCCATTGCTGGTGCTGATGTTTTTGCAGTAACCTGCGCCTGCGAGGCTATCGGTCCTCTGGTAGTAGGGGTAGAGGTGGTCACAGCCTGAGCAGGAGGCTGTTCCGTTCTCCTGCTCCTATTCCTCCGCCTCTTCCTTTGGGAGGGTTGCCTCTCAATGGCGTCGTTGGCAGGAGGTCGGAGAGTCACCCCGGTGGTTGCCCTTTGCTCTGTGGGAGCCACCGTTTCTATTGGTACTGGGGGGGGGGGGGGGGCTGGTTGCCTACCCGTGCCTCTAATTATGGTTGCCCACCCGTGTTGCTTTATGGTAACAGCCGTAGGGCGACTCTGGGGGATCCTCTTGGGGTTCTCCGGGAGTAGCCGAGGTAGAACGATCCCCTGCTTCCTGGCGATCCTCCTCAGGACCGGGCAGCGGCGATCGTTGGCCGTATGATTCTTGGCGCAATTTGCGCACTTTGGCTCTTCCTCTCTACCCCTTGGGCAAAGGCTGGCAATATGCTCTCCAGCACAGCGAACGCATTTCACTGGCCTGAAGCAGTTTGCTGAGGCATGTCCGAAAGCCTGGCAACGGTGGCATTGTGGTGGCCCCGTTTTTCTTTGCCAGGCTTCGATGACTACTCCTCTCATGTAGAGGAGTTCGTCTGTATTGTAGAGTTCTTGGAGCCGCTCCAGGCTCAGATGCTCCAGCTGTGCGTAGTAGAGGCAGCCCGGTCTGCCTCTACGTGGTGGTATGGCCTTAACATAATTTATCGGGAAGCCTTTTG